AGCTAAAGACTGCACTGCTGCAGAAAGTTCCACCCACAGACTTCCCACCAAATTCCTTGTGTTGTTCTCCTGAACAGAAATGCATCACTTTTTCAGAGATAAAGGAGAGGAAATGTGGCTATATTCCTGTGCTCTCATTGACTAACTTCCAGGAAACCTTTCCATTTTGCRTTTTTTATGAAGCTAAAAGATGTCTGTATGCACAGTGAATAAACTAATACATGCACCTCTTTACTRTGCAAGTACTGCATTAATGTATTTGCTAATTCCCAGTACCTTGTTCTATGATTAGCCATGAGAGAAAAATAAACATGGGCAAGCATACTGAATAATGTGGATGAGATAATATGTTGAACTAATCTGAACAACATTCCATTAGTAGAACCATATGCATGATCACTTAGGGACTCGGCGGCTCTGCCATACTTAAGGCAAAGAACTTACGTCCAAAACAAAATAACAAGTCACACCCACAGGAAAAGTATCTGTGTTGACTTTATTCTTGCTGTAGCCCCTTAACTAGCAGAAAGAYTTTTCAGCATGGGTAGGAGGGGGCTTTATTGTCAGAGCTGCAGTGACTGAAGTTGAGTCTTGGCTGTTTGGGTCTTGAAGTTGGTTCAAAGCAGAGATAAGTACTCCAATACCAGATTTTTCAAGTTGTCTTGAAAGTCAGTTACAAAAAGTTAACTATTCATCTTCCAAGTTCTCAAGAACTTCTCAAGAATTATTAAAAAAAATCAAAGAATAAATTTTGTTCAAATCTGTAAATTAATAGATCTAACCTCTCTTCCTTCAGGTGCATGCCGTGTGCACTCCAAAGGACAGGTGAGTGGATGGATACAAGGAAACTGAAGACAACTCAGATGCAAATCTTCGGTGAAATAAAGGAAATACAAGGAAAAAAATCTGACTGAATGGGAGAAAATTGGAAGTACCAACTGATTTGGCTGACCAGGAACCACGAAGAGTAATACAATAACTATTTAAAGTTTTAATAAAGCTAAGCACTASTATTTTAACAGTATGAGCTGCAAACAGAATCAACAGATTATGCCCAAGGAAATTGCTACTGAGACAAGTGTAAGAAGAACAGACCTCTGAACACACGCAAGTGTCTTGACGTGACACAAAGGGTAACCATCGTACAAGAAAAAACATGTGGAATGAGGGAAAGGAAGAGTTTATAAAAGCATCTGTTTCTTCAATTACCGTAACTATCAAGAAATAAAACTGTTAAAAAAAAAGTAAGTGGAATAAAAATAAATAAACAAAACAAACAAATCCCATCAGATGAAATCTCTCCTTTACTAGTCTCAGGTATCCATAGTTTGTAATTTCTAAGCATAAAGTAACTCCTATTTAACATCACCACACAGAGACAGGAGTGGTGAATGAAAGCAGGTAAAAAAGCGGACTTGGAATCACATAACATCCGCTAGCTTGCCAAAGCAACATCCCTAATGCAAACTTCTATAATAGTTACTAGTTCTAAAATATTATGCAAAGTTTTAGGAAACTTAATGACAAATGCTTCAGCGTGCAGAATTAAATTACTTGGCTCTTTGGAACACGGACACTAGTGAACATGATGTGAAAACCAAAGCAGTGATTGTCAGGGAACAGACTTTAGCTTTGCCTTCTTTCTGACCTTACGTATTTAAGATTGGAGGAAGTCATGATACAAAATTGTGTCCCAGAGTACATGCTTGCTCCAAAACAAAGTTCTGCAATAACTTAAGAAAATTCTTTTTCCCTTTCTTACAGCATTCCATTTCCCCAAAGCTCTACCCACACACTCAGCCTTCCAGGATTTTAAGATTAAAAGTCCTGTAAAGTTGCCCACAAAACTGCCTAACTATTACCGCTCATACACCTAGAATGTTGAATCTACATTACTAATGAGCAACAAAGTTGCTCAAATTGCCTATGTAAATTTAAATCAGCCCCTTGTGTGAACACAGCACAACTCTTAATTACATGATCATACACTTTTACCCATGGGATACTTGCCTTATTCCATGTACAGGCTTCAAGGATGTAACTGCTCCAAGAATGAAATATTGCCAGCTAATAAAAGGAATTCCTGCAACGACTCAGCTGCATTGGTTGTAGAACTGGCACATACTGTAAGTTTACCCAAGCCAGGACTGGTCATCAATGTTCACTCTAGAACGGCCAAATCTTTATTTACTAGCTTCCAGAAAGAAGAAAGAGGCACAGAGCAAGAGCACTTCTAATGGTAATGCAAGAAAGAAAAGCAGCCCTCACAGCCTGGTGCATCCTTAACCCCAGAGAAGCTCTTCCTTGACTTGTAGATGTCTCTCTTCATCAGCACTAGAACATTAAGCAGGAACTTCCTGGGGGCTGGGATGTATTGAGCACAGGACATTTAAAGATGACAGAAGCAGAAAAAAAGATTGAAAGTGAAACTAAGTATAAATGAGAGGACTGATTGCTGGCCTATTTCTATATTCTATACAAGAATGTGTCTTCTCTTACCCCACACTCACATCCCACATTTCACCATATGAAAATTTCATGCAGTTCCACAGAACTGTACTGAAATCCATATCAGTTATCAGAGGGTTTCAATCTTTTGATCAACCACACTGTCATCTAGCACACAGCAGTTGGATGTCATCCTTTGTGGACTAGCCCTTAGAGGGACTCGGCCTATGCCTTTCACTGAATTTTGTTGATAGCTGAGGAATGGTAAGATTTAAGGATTTTGAACTTCATTCCACACATAAAAAGGAATTACATTCTAGGACACAGTTTCTCAATCTGTGGTCTACAGAACATCAGATGATAATTCAAAGATGATTGTAAAAAGTTTATTTTTAAAAAAATATATACATTCCCACACACACAAGCTAGAAAATATGACAGAGGGATATAAAAAAGTTAAACATCCAAGTTGAGCCCGTGTTTCATTATATTGCAAACCAAAATGCAACACTTCACAAAATGATCTTTGCATTTTTTTAAAAGAAATTAAGATTTWAAAAAAAATACTGTCCTTTTGAATTTTAAAGTTTGTAGTCTCAAGGAAAAATTTGTTAGCTTTCTTCAGTTGTGCTAAATTTCCTGGGTTAATATGCTTTTCCCTTCATCCCATCTTCCTATGCCTTTATCTACTTTCCCCATATTCACCTATGCTTTATCTCCTTTCATTCTCTTTATAGTCATCGCTTAACCTCATCTACACAAATAGCCCTACCAACCACTGAGTTCTTTCTGCCYGTTTTTGCTGCCCAGTTTTGCCTCATCTTCAGTTTCACCATGCATTTCAGACATCATTGCTAAAATCTTCATTTCACACGGTTCACTAGCACTTTCTTTTCCTAGATATTTACCTGTTTTGTTTTGGCTTTGTATTTTTAAAGATAGGTTGTTGATACACTCCATCTGTCTTTACTCCTTGATTTAAGATCCAGACTCTCTATCCAGCCTTAGTATCTTCCACTCTCCAATTTAGGGTTAGGGTTGACTTCCTCCTAACGTTCACATTTACACATCATATATAGTCAGCTGTGTATACATACACTGAGCTTTTCAGTGATCCCAAGCAGACAGGAAACAAAGCTTTAAAAAAATCCTTGTATCAAAATAACTGCAAAACTGTCCAACAATGGMCATTATAGAAGTAATTCAAATTCAGAAATGTAATCGCAAGGGTACAGCAAGTCAGGTGCAATGAATGGTCAGTGTTCCTGCTGTCACAATTCCTGTAACTGTTACTGTAAATGACAAATGTTGAATTAAAAAAATACTTTAAAAGCTCAATTGATAACAAGTCTAAGTTAATGGACACCTTTTCATAGGAACCAGGTACCACCTACCTCCAGACACTGCTTTGATCCTGCACATTCACCACTCTTTATTAGTTTCAAAACRCATTTTTAATCTCTTTTTATTTTCTTGAAAATTATTACTGATCTTTATAACTTACTGATTCATATGCAATTTTCCCATGCCAGTCAATACATACTAATAAATACATATGTATTAGTACATCGACCAAATGGCGAATGAACTACTTCATTTTTCCCAAAATTATTCTTTACAGAAGTCTGTTAAGCTACAAACTGCATCTACATGAAAACTAACATTTCGGTTAAAAGACAGGAAAATAACTTAAAATATTAAACTGCTTAAATACATTATATATTAAAAAAAGGGAAAAAAAAAGAGGCATTCAGAACTAAGTAACTTTGGTAGCTTATACACAACAAAATTAAACGACTGTGCAGATGATGAGGAAAAAATGGAACAAAAATACCTCTAACTTGATAGTCGTACTCATACATTCAAATGAACAACTGACTTCTGGTCTCAATTTCAGATAGGTTTTATTTAATTTTGAACAGGGAAAGAACTAGTCRAGACTTCTGGGGTTTTGGGGGTTTTTTGTTTTTTTTTTCTCTCACTCTCTCCTGATAGACAGCGAAGACAATGTCTAATTCGGACATGTTAATAAATTCTGTTTCCCAATGTTTGCAGGCAAGAGCTTTTTATTCTTTCGGACTTTGGCATAACACTGCTTGATATTTCTGTWGGGATTTTTTTTTTAAACTTGAGACTACATTCAGCCTGCAGTAACAATCAACTTCATCATGAATTTTAATGTTTAGTACCTTTCTTAAAGTTAACTTTTTTAAAAATACAATTCTAATTTCCTTTGTACACAGCAGCCCAATATGACATTTAGCAATATTTGGTCCTCATTTTGAATCACAGGAAACATTCCTTGGGAGCTCATTTAAGTAATTTTCCATCAATATGACTAATCTAATATACATTTGACATACTTTATGACACAGAAAGAATAAAACAAATATCTGAATCTTGTTACCAATTGAGGAAAATACACAGAAAATGTTTTCCTTGCTACTGTGATGAATATAAACAGATATGCTTCCTTGGAATCTGGGCCTTTTTTGAGTGTGCATCATTAGATTATGCTTTTCCAGCTTCTCAGGAAAATTAAGTTTGCATACCAGCACAGAATATCCCTGGGACTTCACTCCGGAATATAACAGTTCGTACTTTCTTATCAGATTTCAAAGCATCCACAGCTTTTGTCATCTACAGAGAAAAGGAGGGAGGGGAATAACCAAACACTTTTTAAAGCACTTAATTCCAACACTTCACGTTCTTACTAGAAATGTGTTTTCTTTTCACTCACCATTTTTAAAAGGTTTTTGTTAAGTGCATTCTTGGCATGAGATCTGTTTAATCCAAGCACCACAATTCCTGAAGGAGAAAAAATAGCATTGTTACAATGAAGAAAACAATATACATTATCTATGTGTATATTATTTTGATGTAATAAAAATATCACTGAGGATAGTAAATATATTTACTATATATGTATACAGACAGCTAGCGGAATTATTTAAAGCTTTGTTTTAGGAAAAAAAAAGACATGTTTTACAGTGTTGAACATTTCAATGTTCAACAGAAATGACAAATATTTTAGGAACTAATATATATCCCGAAAACCTTCATATGGAAATGGTGCTTATAAAGGTTGGGTGTATAATGCAAAGTTCTGACATGCAATCAAGAAAGATACTTAATTAAAAAGCATATGTTTCCATATTTAGACAGGCTACATTCAAAGATTTCTTAAAGCAAGGAGTGTTACCACAGCAAAGAGCAGTAATTCCAACAGGAATAAAAAGTCACAAACATGGAACATTACCAATTACAAAGCCTAGTTACAAAAACGTGCCGTGTAGTTTTGCCCCAAAGCCACAGCATRAATTGCATCTAGTGCTTGGCTACACAGCTCAAATCCACAACTCCCTTAAGTCCAGGTAGAGATCAGCTGGCTTTCTGACTGATTACGTATGCGCTGGTTTGAGTGATGCTGCTAAAASACCATTTGTTTGCTCCGCCTCAGCTAACAGACACATTTATCAAATGAGAAAATTCTGAAAAGTTTACCAAACCTGTAACAACCTTCTAGTCAATTATTTCCCAAATATATACATAGTTTTTTTCACTCTGAAGTCTCCATGCTCTGTTAAATAAATTCAGCCTGGTACAGAGCTTATCAGCAAGCATTATTTTTCCTTGAGGAATGAAGTGGAAAGGGGAGAAGGACAAATGACTAGGACAGGGCACATGAATGCATAAAAAGAGGGAGCTTCCATTAGGCTGGAACACAAATGCTCATAGTATCATCAAACTACAGCTAAAAGTTGAAGTTGTAAAGAGAGCTAATACTTGTCTGTGCATTCACTATGCCTACCAGCTTTGCAAGCTTTTAGCCAGCTTTATCACTCACTTTTACCCAGCTTTTATCACCCAGCTTTMCAAGCAGTCTCTGCAATCCGTCTCTCTCCAGCTACACCGTGGAGCCACACTTGTCTTTTCAGCATAATTCTCTCCTTCCCTGCTCTGGGGAAATCTGTCCTCCCAAAGCAATGACCCTGAACTATGTTCCTCCTGTGTCTCTGTTTACATAGACAAATGCAGGGCAAGATGAAACAGAGCTCTTGCTCCTCTGACAGCTACCAGCATAAAGCCAAAGTCCTCCATTCACCCGTTGCTATCCCCAAAATTCAGATGAGGATGGCTAAGCACAAAAAAGAAGGAGCATACATGCCTCTTGCTTCTTTCCAAGGCTCAACGGATTGCTAGCAACAGCACCTGCCTAGAAGGGGAGAATGACCTGCCAGACTCCAATGAGCTGCACTCCTGTGCCCCACAAGCCTCAATTCCATCCGTTCATCAACATGATTGAAGATGCTCATGTAGCATCTCCTGCAAGGGCTCTTTTTCAGCATTTACAAGGAAATCTGTTCACTTTTTGTTCTGTTACACAAACAGGACAACATTCAAGCTGTGATTCTGATTGCAGTATTTTTCTTCTGCTATCACAACATACTTTTGACGAGGATTGCTCCAAATTCAAATACTGCACAAGTTCATAAAAGTAAATGAGACTAGAGCAACACSACATGTAAAGCGATAAAAAAGGTAATTGACCTGGCTTGATTTTAAGCATCAAGTCACACTGCAAATCCAATGCTGGAATTAACTAGTCACATGGCATTATAAATTTGAGATGGGAAAAATGCCCTAACCAAAACAAAAAATATAAATGAAGCTCCTTGTAACACTGCAAAGTCTCCATTACTAAACCAATTAAAAAAAAAAAGTTCAGACTTTTCTGCCATACAGATAGCTATTGTTCTAACTATTAGTCATATAGAAAATCTATTCTGAAATATGTTACTTCTGCGTAAGAAGCATTTAATTATCATTCATTATTCCTGAAGCATCCATAACACAACCAAGTGTTAAGATACATAAGCTTTCAGGTATCATAAGAAATCTATTTGTTAAAAAAAAAAAAAAAGTAAAATTTCTTCATCAACATTCCTTGAAATATCAGTAGAAACACCGAGGATAAAGTTACAGTACTTATACAGGTTAAGAAGGTAGCACACCCACTTAAAAAAGAATAAGCATTCAGCTAAACTAACCTCAATATTAACTTCATAACTTTTCCTGGCAGTCATCTTCATGTTACTCCAGAGCACATTTCAGCAAACAACGTGCCTCTACTCAAAATTCAGTCGGCGTACTCTGAAGGAACTTTCAACCTCCTAGCCAGCTTCTCCAGAAGAGGATGATGACTTCCACAGCTGAGCATTACAAGCCCTCCTGCCCACAGAACACTACCTATCCAGGCAACAACAGGCTGTGCATGACCGGTGACTTACAAGAATTGGCAAAGATAAAGCAAACTGTATGCTCACAAGAGAAAGCTGAGCATTAAATYATTCTAAAAACTTAAAGCAAAGTACTGAAACACAAAAAATGTTCTTTAATGAGATACATACATAAGTATAGATATMGTACGCATATATGTATGCACATACACACACATGACACACACTGATAGCTTTGAAACCTCTGAAAATTCCCAGTAACACCCACAATTTATAGTATACTATCAATCTGCATATGAGCTTACAGGATTTAAAAAAAAAAAAAAAAAAAAAGATCCCTGTATCACAGTGATGACTGCAGAAAATAAATGCTATCATTATCTAAAACTGCTAAGGAAGATGATCATGTTTCATTCTATGTAGCAGAAAACAGAATGGTCCGATTTAAGTGACTAGATCATGGTTTAAGTATGGTTTAAACTAGCACACAGGAAATCTTGCTTCAAATACTGATTGATTTTTGCTTGTTTTATACTTGGTAACTMTCAAAAATATTCATTCTCAGTGCTTACTAGAAAGGCATTTACATTGAAACTATAAATAAATACTGTCTTTACACTCATGTTAATTATTTTGCCCTAATCAGAATTTCACTGGATTAGTACAACTATTTAAGGAAGCATATTTATTTATATTAAATACATCCACACACATTCTATCCAAATACAGTCCTTTACAAAAATTGAATTAGAGCACAGCCCCTTCCCTTCCCTCCCAAAAAAAGGGTGCATCACTTTAGTCAAGACTAGAAAGACAGTTCTGCTAATTTCATCTATAGAGTAAATGCCTTAAATTCATTAGAATTTGCAGTGGTTCAGTTATGTAACTTGGCTAAAACTCCTGCAATTTCTGTAATGTATTTCAGCCTTAGGAGAAAACATCAAATAGAATTTCAAATAGTATTTTCACTTCCACATTCTTCCAATACCTATTTTTTTGTATTATTTAGTTGAGCAAATATTCCTGTTTAGTTCAAACTTTTTAGTTAGAAAGATGCTTTCAAATATAATCTCATTGCAGTATATATTTTAGAAGCTCCCTCCCAAAACTGTGGTATACAATTCACCTCCATTATACAGTGCACACATCTATGGGAGGTAGTTCCCATCCACTAGTTTTCCTCTCTCTACAGCATCCTCTGCAGTAGGAGCCAAGACAGCAGAAGCAGAGAAAAACTAGGCGGGCCTAAAACCAGAATCACACCATGATCAAGCATCTATGTGCTCTAATGAGACGGTTGAAGGAATGGGGTCTGCATCCCTGCATGCAGTCAAGAAGGATGCTAGGGAAGACAACAAGCACTAAAGGCCCATTTGGGAAGGCTGAGAACACAGCATGCTGGAGAAAGGACTGGTAGCAAGGCAGACAAGAGGGGGTTAGAGCCCCAAGGCTGCAAGCAGGCGTTTTGCACAAGGTAAGGAGCAAGGAGAAGAGCAAGGTGTGCAAAAGCAGCACAGGTTAAAAAGGGACAGAGACAAATTTTGGCTGTCACAGAAAGGTGGCCTGAACTCTGCTGCTGAAGGAAGCACAGGAAGCTTTCGCAGGTAACAGTGGTACATGAGTAAACTAACTTCGGAATATCTTGATAAAAATATCAGACTGCTAGGAAAACATGGGAGATTTTGGAAGTTCAACTAAATGCCTTCTCTGGTACCAAWAGACAAGCAAATTAAATAGACAGACAGACAGATAGATTTGACTTTTTTTGGCTTGATTTTTTCTTTTTCTTTTTTAAGGGGGTGAAGGGGARAAGATGGAAGTGAGAAGTAAACCCTCTATGTATAAATAGTCCTTCTGGTACCTAGCAAGACACAACTGCCTCCTTTAGATTCYCTTGAATGAATTCAGAAGAATTGATTCTCAAAGTTAGCAGTACCTTTTCACTTACTTAATCTTCCACTTACTAATAAAGTGTTTAAAACATTTTCTGAAAGGCGGGGCAAAAAATATCCATTCTTCTTTTAAAAGGAACTCATGAATTGGAGCWCATGGATTGAGTTCATACTTACAACATTCACAACTAATTTAAACTCCAAATGAAACAACTGTTTGGAGCTTTTTCAATCCCACCCTCAACAAAGGCAGGTGTATTATGAAGGGAAGAAAAGCAACTTCAGACCAGTCTTGCTACTATATACTCCGGCACCAGGAAAAGTATGYGGGCTAATGTCACACAAAACTAACCATGCCCTGCAGCTCTCCGCACAGAGAAGTTCACAATATCTACATCAAAACTACTCAGCAGTGAACAGCAGRTAGGCACAAAGCACCGAACACCTCTCTAGCATCACAAAAGCAGTGATTCCTAGCCAATTCTGCGGTTGGAACATGCTCTCTCCTTCCACTACCTGTTTTTGCAGAAAATGTTGCAGAAATTAAAGTCATGTCTTATGTATAAACAAAATTATCCAAGTATCTTCTTGTTTGAAAAAATACACAAAAATTTCTGATCTTTTA